AAAAAACATTTACGTTTAAAAATAGGTGGCGTTTCACATTTTAAATGTTTTTTCTGGACACAAACCTGTTTGTTGTTTCGTTTTTTTATTTCAATTTACATAATAAGGTCAACACTTAGTTGTGAAGTGTTTTTAAGCTAAAACCTTCAGGTTTTAATTAAAAAATAATTATCGTACACATGTCCTTCGCTCGTGTGGGTTTGAATCCCTTTTTGTTGTTGCAGTAAGTTTACTTATAACGAAATCCCATTATGTATAATGTAGTATAACCGCTTTTATACTTTCATTTGCTTGTGAAGCTTAGTCAGAGTTCCAGAAGTCATTAATATTAGAGGATTATTGTGACTTATTTGCAAAAAGCGAATCGCTTTTTAGAAGTCCTACTATATAGTGTTTGTATTTGTATTCATAACCACATAGACATGTTTGTCTTTATAAAAAATCCATATCGTTGGGCTTTTACAAACAAATAATTTCACATGCACATTACATTCAGACCTGAACAAGCATTTGAATATCACAACAGTAATTATTCGGTACCGGAATCGTATCCACTACATGTTGCGTAGTATAATTAAAACATTAGCCTAAATATCGAACTTGAAATGTTCTCAATCAATCACTTACAACTATAAATCTAGTAGATAATTTAACTCGTTGAGTATCGTCATTATAGACACAATTATTGAACAATTATTTTTTAATGGGGGAAAATCATCGAATGACTGATCCCGCCTGGGTGAGGCGGGAGGGAGTGTCAGACTGTTACTGACTAAAAACAACCCCGTTCCTTCTCCTGCACATCGAGCCGGAGCCCCGGTTACCCGTTAGGTTCTCCGCGACTATTATAGAAGAATAGGTTGCGGTCACCGGTGACCGCTTGGTGTTTGATAGTTTAATTAGTTAGTGTATTCTATACTAAATAAAATTAAAAGCAAAAGTGATTAGACGAGGAAGGAGGACTCGATCCCTCTTGTATAAATGAGGGACGCATTTACCTGAATTATCTATACACGTTTAAGACCATAATAGATAAGACAGAAGTTTCATTAGAAGTTGGCTCGAAAGAGAAAAAAAAAAAAAAAATTCTACTTAATATTAATTATTATGTTTTTCGACGTACTCATATAATTGGTATGGAGACCGAGTATGAAAATTAAAAATCTAATTAGTCCGTCAGTTAGGTAATGAAAAAATATTAGACACGTATTTTTTTATTTTGTCGTATAATAAAACAATTCAAAGTTTAGGAGTGGGGGCTAAAACGTCATTTGTACGTATAAAATGTATGTACATAGAAGTGACGTCACGCGACATTTTAAATCAATGTATCGTCGAAAGTATTAGTTTCTGTAAGAAAATAAAAAATACGTGTCTAATGATTTGATTGATGAAATAATCTACCAGACGGACATTAAAATAAAAATTAGACATCTACCCTATTATTTGACGAAGAACTCGACCAGTTTTAAGCCATGCAAGCCATGTTTCAGTAGCAGCGCGACAGTTGTTACGTCGCGGTATGCTGCTCATGAATATGAGCCGCTAGCATGGCTTGAAACTAGTCGAGTTTCTCCACAAATACGTGATTATTACGTAAGTAAGCCGAAGTACCTCACGAAAGCTATGAAATAAATATACGTAATGTTTATTATTATGTGAAGTAAATAAATAAATAAATAATATACGATAAAATATTTGTTATTATTAATACAGTTCAATTGTACTTTAATCATTTTAATGGAATACGGCCGCAAACAAGCAGCTGGATCACAATACATGATGGTAAGCGATCGACATCTCTTATGGATGACCAACAACGCCAACCTACAAGCGCATCGCCGGGTGAATTGTTCCTCTAGTAACCTCATTAACACAACATCAACGTCACGCCTTTTATCCCTGAAGGGGTAGGCAGAGGTGAACACAGAGGTAACACCCACTTTTCACTATTTGTGTTATGAGTCCCGTGTAATAGGGGTGAGCCTATTGCCATATACCGGACACCATTTCCAAACACCTTGCTACTACTGAGAATATTTAAAAACCCAGTAATACTTTGCCCGACCCGGGAATCGAACCCGAGACCCTTTGCCCGTCAGTCGTACTTGTGACTACTCGGCCAACGAGGCAGACGTTATCACCTCATTAAAACGGTGAAAAAAAAATCCCAAGCGTTGTTTCACGTTGATTTTGTGAAGCGTACGTATTGACCCATTCGTATCGAAGTATGCAATGGCTCTTCCTAATAAAAAAATTGTTCAATAAGTTAAACTTCTGTAGGCAATTTTGACCATACGCCTCCATATTAGCAGCTTCCAATGTCTAGTCGCCACAAATAACTGGTTTATACACTTTTCTTATACTTCTGTTAATTTAAGTGAAACTTAGTGGGACTCGAGTTTATTTTCATTATTGGAAAAAGGAAAAAAAAGTTCGATGGAAATCGGAAAAGAAAATTACGGCAGTTTGGAAGAATAATGTTTTTTCTTTCTTTTTTTCGCATTGAGTATTTTTGTTTCAAAATTGTGAGTGGCGGATCGAGGAATTGTGGTACGGTAGAAATACTATAGGTACTTAGACCTAATTTTAATCATAGTCAAATTAATGAAACTCAATATTGAAAGACAAATCAGGTAATGATTTTGTAAAGGCATTAAGATGTCGTAGATAGCCTACATGGTGGCCCGGAGGTTTAAAGATAAAGATATATTTATTTAATAAAACATGAGTAATTACAATGAAGGTGTTTTTTTTGGTTAGTACAGAGTGTATTGGCCAGGGCTTCGCAGGAAAAGACTCAAGGAAATACTCAGCAGGTAGAATTTTAATGAGGTGTTAACTTAACGAGTACAGCACAGCAAGTGAAGAAATTAGCGTCGGTACATACAAAATAAATACAAATAAATATACTAGTTACTTAATTGCTAACATTATACTAAGCACACGTCGTTGCTATGGTATATCCAGCAGGCGCTCGTACACAGAGTCTACATGTTTTGCCATTTATGGCGTACTAAATCATTCACTTTAGGCAGATAATACCAATCTACAATCAATAAATACAAAATCAAATGTCAAAGTTTGAATGAAATAAAAAAAATTTATAATGTAAATGAATAACAATAAAAATCATAATCCAAAAATCACAAGTCACGCCGCCCACTTCTCAGTTTAAAACCTACCAACAGCAAGTCCTAATGTGACTTATGCCAAGCTATATGTACTTTCTAAGATTATTCAGACACTGCTGACAAACGGTGAAGGAAAACATCGTGAGGAAACCTGGACTTATAATTTCTAATTATAAGTTTGAATTCGTCAACCCGCATTGAGCAAGTGTGGTGATAAATGCTCAAACCTGCTCCGTGTGAAGGAGGCCTTTGGTCAGCAGTTGCCACTTATAGACATATTGAAATAACATAACATCACGCCTTTTATCCCCGAAGGGGTAAGCAGAAATGCACATTGCGACACTTAATGCCACTGTACAATGTACCACCCCACTTTTCACTATTTATGTTATGAGTCCTATCTATTAAGGGATGAGCCTATTGCCATATATAGGGTACAATTCCAGACTTCGTGTTACTACTGATAAACTCAGTAATACTTGGCCCGACCAGGGCATTGAACCCGAGATACCCTAACCCAGCAAGCAGTTGTAATAATCTACGAAATGTTACATCTAACATTAGATGGGTAGAATCTATGTCTATCTACACTAAAGTTCGGTCTAAGTTCGTCAGCCAGTCTAAAAACCAGTAGACAGTATTTTGCTAACGCCATAGTTGTGATTAACATACGTACCATAACATTACACCCTTTATTTTCTGAAGGCGTAGACTTAACACTATTTCCGGACGATCCTAATGAAGCAGTTAGCTTAATTAATAGGAAAATATGGTGTACCGTACATACATGTAGTTGTGTACCCCATATCCATTGATAGGGATACATGATAAGGACATTTCCTTGATAACTTAATTATTTATCTTTCATGCAACTTAAAAACTATAGTAATCAAGTTTTCCCTTGATTGTATCAGTGAAGATACGATAGTTACGAGAAAAATTACTTCTTTAAAAGCATAAATTTTAGTTTGTTTTTAATTTAAACGTTGCCCGTGAGTCACTGCAGGGTGCCACCTGAAAACCAGCGCTGGGCAGAAACGTCCAACTATATGCTGAGGTGGAGGCCCTTTTAGCATTCGAGCACGCGCAAATTAATATTAATATTTTGTTTATTAGATTTTTTTTTGTCTATTCAAAATTCTATTATCGTCGTATTATTATTTTGTTATATTGTGATGTTTTCTGTTCTGATCTCTATTCTTGTAAGTTTATTATTAGTATTTTATTTTTATATATGTATTTTTATTTTTTATATTCTTTGTTTTCTGTGCGTTTAATTGCCAAATAAATGTTTTTTCTTTCTTCTTCTTCTTTCTTCCCTACACTAGGTTTTTCCTCCAGTCGTGGGTGCGGTTATAAACATACAAATTCACACACATGACACCCAGACCCGAAACAACAATTTGTGGATCAAACAAAGTGTTGTTCCGTGCAGGATCAAATCCGCGCCGTACTCAGTTATATTAGCTATCGTCTCTGTACTGAACCAATCTTTACTTTCTTTTATTTATTTATCACAACATAGTATAAAACAATGTCGCTATCCGCCGTCTATCTGTCCCTATGTATGCTTAGATCTTTAAAACTACGCAACGGATTTTGATGCGGTTTCTTTAATGGATAGAGTGATTCTTAAGGAAGGTTTATATGTATAATACATGCATATATTGCACCCGTGCGAAGCCGGGGCGGGTCGCTAGTAACAAATAAGCAAATAAGCTATGAGCAATCTTACTCGTGACCTTTGGTTGATGTCAAAATAGTGATGTACATAAACTACCTATAGCATAAACTTGGTATTTTTAATAGACCAGCCAGATTAGCCAGATGTAATCAAAAACTAACAATAACTTATCTTGTTTCAGAATGCTGTACCCATCAATTCCTGTTTGCTTCCTCGTGATTGGAGTAGCATTATGTGCCCCAGAGAGGATGCAGAACGAGCCAGACCCTCACGACACTCCAGTGCATGAGGGCACTGAACCTCACAGTGACCACATTGCCCCTCTTGAGAAGAGATCCCCTCACTACGACTTCGGGTTGGGCAAAAGGGCTTACAGCTACGTGTCAGAATATAAGCGACTACCTGTCTACAACTTTGGATTGGGCAAGAGGTATATTATATTTTATTATGGATTTGTGTGAAAGTTATAGTAACAAACATGCAACGTAACATTCACAATCATACTCAGACCCGGCACAATAATTTGTGGATCCCACAAAGAATAATTGTTCGGTCTGAGAATGGAAACCATGACACATACCACCGCAATCGGTCACCCCGCTGCGTGGTGACTCTGGAATATTGTTGTGGATGATATAGACATCAACAGATATAGGTCTTATTTTATTCATGGTGTTACTCTTTATTTATTATTACCACACACACTCTTTCACCAGATATAGTTAGTTATAGTCACATCCACAATTGTTCCAAAAACCGTGCACCCTATTTTACGAGTACTATCCGAATCAAAAGATCCTGTGATGAGACAGGCACATACATAAACATGTTTTACAACTGTACCTTTTTGTTCCTAGATCCAGGCCCTACTCCTTTGGTCTGGGCAAGCGCTCAGTCGACGAGGACCAGTCCAGTGAGAGCCAGCCTCTGACCAGCGACCTGGATCAAGCTGCCTTAGCTGAATTCTTCGATCAGTATGATGATGCCGGTAAGTTAAATTGAACAGCTTAAAATTAAACATAATATACATTCATTATTAACTTTGAAAAATTTTAAAATCATGATTTCACATTTTCTTTATAGCGTTCAAGATAATCTAATATTTGAATTAAAGATTATTGAACAAAAAAAAGCATATATACGGTCGAATTGAGAACCTCCTCCTTTTTTTGAAGTCGGTTAAAAATACAACAACGCTTTTTATGAAAACAATATTCCTACCTACTCAAAAAGCCAGCAAGAGCATTATGTAGGAACATAATATTTTCCGTAATAAATAACATAAAAATTCTATCGACCTTCAGAAAACATTTTCCTTATTGAATAAAGGTTAATTAGGTTCCCAATAATTATATTTAACACAATTATTATATTACTTTAATAATTGTTTAAGATTGACTCTTTCGTGAAGTAGACACAGCAAATACAAGGTCTCAGGTTTAAAATCACTAGGTCGAGCAAATAATAATTATTATTTTGATTTCCAGTCTCTGAGGATTTGATTTATTTTTAATGGACTTTATTTATTAGTAAATTAAATAATGAAAGGATGAATGGAGTTTCTTGCTCGTTCTTCTCCATTTGAATCTACATTTTGGAATGAGCACCTAGCATCACTTAGCTTCACTGATGGACTGACTGACAGACTATTATTTATTTTGTATTTGCTGACGTTTCAAAAGTACCAAATTATGGCTTGATTGACTTTTACTTTAAATATATTCTCATTTTGCACGCAGGTTACGAAAAGCGCGCTCGGCCTTACAGCTTCGGGCTCGGCAAACGCTTCGCTGACGACGAAACTTCCGAAGAAAAGCGGGCAAGGGCATACGACTTTGGACTGGGCAAGCGGCTACCGATGTACAACTTTGGACTGGGCAAGCGAGCAAGGAGCTACAACTTTGGTTTAGGCAAGCGATTGAGCAGCAAATTCAACTTTGGTTTAGGCAAAAGGGAGCGGGACATGCATCGCTTCAGTTTCGGTCTGGGCAAACGATCGGCAGATGACGCTTCGGTCGAAGACAGCGACAATTATTTCGACGTTTAAATAATTTTGTTAATTTATGATTAAGAGATAACCCTATTGGAAACTTGTGTGGGATTATTTTTTTAATTACCTATTTGTTTATTCCTGTCTTAAATTAAACATAGACTGTTATTTTTATAGGGATTGTTATTTATTTTATATCAACACTACCTCAATGTTATTAAAGGTTTTCATGTGAGAAATCCAGCCATTTTCACATGGAAACCTCAATATACAATTCTGTTTTTTATGTTTTTATTGTTTACATTTCCACGCAAGTTTCCATACCAAAACAGTTAATTAATAATTATAAGATTTTTGACTGCATAATTCAAATAAATTAGGCATTTCGAATATTAAAAAAAATGTATTAGAAATCGTGATTTGAAAAACCAAATTCATGTTCTGATTTTTATTTGTGTTACAATATTTATTTTTTATTTCGTAACATTTATTTTACTGGTTTTAAACCGTGTTTATTTTGTAAATTATTGTTATTAATGAAATGTAGTTATTTATGAATGAAAAATATTAAAATCATTGTAAATCATAGTCAATGTGGAGTTACGATCGCGAAGTATGTTATAGTGTAAGCTTAAACTCGCATTTATGTTGTTGAATAAATAATGAAGCTGAAAATGTGTTTATTTTCCGGAAATAATAGATACCTATGAAAAAGATAACATGATTACTTTTCAAGCTTAACTTTAAATAACGCCGTAATTTTCTGCTCAGATTTATTTCTCGAAACTTAATTTATAATAATTATTGAGGAAAATATAAACATACATGAAATAAAATTTACATATAATTTTTTATAAAATCTCCCTATTATATTACTAGTTTGAATTACTTCAATTTAAATAATAACTTAACAAATATCCGTTGTTATATTAATTTATAAAATTGCACTTCCAATTTATTTTATGAAATTAAATATTTTATTTATTCAATGAAATAAATTGTAAAATAAATTAATATTATTTATATTTGCATCGTAGCTCTACAGAATAATAGATTAAAGTAAAATTAAGTGGTTAGACATAAATGTAAGACTTCGTAACATTGTTTTGAATATAACCGTAAATGATTATACAATTAAAAATCTAATTATACAAATAATAGAGAAATTGCATCTGCGCTTGTTTATTTATTTTAACTCCTTCAATAACAATAGAGATGATAACGGGGTATGAAAATTAAAAGACTATTTTCTGTCAGTTAGGTAATGGAAAAATATTAGACACGTATTTTTTAATAAGAAAACAATACCTAGATAAAACAAATCAAAGTTTATGAATAGGAGCTAACTACGTCATTTCCACACATAAAATGTCTTAGAAGTGACGTCACATGGTATTTCAAATCAATATATCGTCGAAAGAATTCGTTTCTGTGCGACTGCCGGGCAAGGGGTCTCGAGTTCGATTCCCGGGACGCGCAAAGTATGACTGGGTTTATAAAATTCTCAGTAGTAGCACGGAGTCTGGAAATATGCCCGGTATATGGCAATAGGCTCACCCCCTATTACATGGGACTCATAACATAAATAGTGAAAAGTGGGCGTTACTTCTGTGTGCACCTCTGCCTATACCCCTTCGGGAATAAAAGGCATGATGTTATGTTATGTTATTTGTTTCTGTAAGCAAATAAAAAATACGTGTGTCTAATAATTTGAAATAATCTACCAGAAGGACATTAAAAAAAATAGCCCCTTTAGTAGAATTTCATATGAATAAATAATTTATTTAAAGACCTGGGTTGCCTCGTTGGCCGAATGGTCACAAGTGCGACTGCCGGGCAAGGGGTCTCGGGTTCGAATCCCGGGTCGGGCAAAGTGTTACTGGTTTTTTTAAAAACTCAGTAGTAGCACGGAGTTTGGAAATGTGCCCGGTATATGGCAATAGGCTCACCCCCTATTACAGTAGTGAAAAATGGGTATTACATTATACAGTGACATTAAGTGCCGTAATGTGTACATCTGCCTACGCCTTCGGGGGTAATTGCTGTGATGCAAATTAGTCATCTACCCTATCAAACCAAGAGACTTCACTCGCAGAGATCTCTCGGCCGAGGAGGGCGCTGAAATCATGTCAGATGCCTTTACTTACTGCGCCGACGTTGCTTTTGGTCGCGGGTCCGTAACTAGTACGCGTAGATGCGACTGGTGGAATAACTATCTAGTCGAACAACGTAAATGCTTTCGTAAAGCGCGCAAACAGTTAAATAGACTAAAGAAACGTCAGGTAACCGGTACCATTTTTGATGAAGCGCTGATTGCGTTTAGAGTTGCCAGGTCACGTTATAGGGCTTCGGTGGAGAAAGCCAAGGGTGATTTGCTACGGAGGGTTGTACAGAAATTAGATAAGGAGGGCCCGTGGTCGCCTCTATACCATGAGTTCAAAGCCAATAGATCCGTCGATCTGGCATTCGTACAGAACATAAAAGTCAACAATGTTCACACCACTGGTATTGAGGAGACAACGGAAGTTCTACTCGACGAACTTGTCCCTGACGATGTGCTCGAGACAGACAATGATTACCATCAACAGATTAGGTCGTGGGCAGCTATACCGCCGGAGTCACCAGTGTCTGATCTACCGTCCATCAACGAGCTCGTAACTATTGTTAAAACTTTGCCTTTAAATAAATCATCTGGTGAAGACAAAGTCTCAAATAAAATGATAATAGAAGCATGTAAATCCGCGGCTGATGCGATCCTAACTGTGTTCAACCGTTGTATCGCGGAAGGCGTATTTCCTCGTGTATGGCGACGTGGATTCATTCGCATAATCCCCAAGAATGGAAATAAACCCCCCGATGACCCTAAGTCATACCGGCCTATCACGCTTTTGCCATCTTTAGGGAAACTACTTGAGCGACTTATCGTTCCTCGTTTACTGCCAGGTGGACCAAAATTCCACAACAATCAATTTGGTTTCACTGTAGGAAAGTCTACTGTCGACGCGGCTCTTTCTGTCCGATCCATGGTAAATTCGTCTGAACACAAGTATATAGTAGGCATTTTTCTGGACATTTCCGGTGCCTTTGATAACGCATGGTGGCCAATGTTACTCTTAAAACTGAAAGGTCGTGGCTGTTTTAGTAACATATATAAATTAATATACACGTATTTCCTTCACGGTTCCGTTAAACTGAAGCTTGGTCATTGTTCTCGGTCGAAGTCTTTATCAATGGGATGTCCTCAGGGCTCGGTTATCGGTCCGTATTTATGGAATTTAGGATTTGATGATTTGCTCGCGATTCCCCTTCCTTGTGGCTGTACTTTGACTGGATATGCGGATGATGGCCTTTTGCTAGTACAGTCAAATACCCGCGCCGGACTGGAGAATTTGGCTAAAGACTGTCTCAGTAGGATCTCGCGATGGGGCGAACGAAATCGCTTAACTTTTGCACCCCATAAAACTTACCAGCTATTGCTTAAAGGAAATCTAAAGTCGTGGCCGTCTATTAAATTTAACAACGTTTCCGTAAAACGAAAGGAGTCGGTTTGCTATCTCGGTCTAGTTTTGGAAAAAAACTTTTCTTTCATTGAGCATATTAAGGCTATTAGTGAGAAAGCCAAAAAAAACTTCTATGCGCTGACGCGAATTTCAAAAGCCACCTGGGGTCTCTCTTTTCTTACGCTCAGGATCATATACGGAGCAACCTACCTGGGATGCGTGTGCTACGGGGCACCTGTCTGGGCTGATAGGGCCACAATAGGCGCGGTACGGCGAAAACTTCTTCAAGGCCAGCGTCTAGCCTTGATTTTCCTGTGTAAGGCTTATAGGACGGTTAGCACTGAAGCCCTACCTGTGCTCGCGGGCGTACTTCCGGTAGATCTTGAGGTGCAGCGACGTGCTGCTATGTACTACAGTGCGAGACCTAATTTGTCAGCTAGCTTTCTGGCAGAACGTGATAGAAATAAAATTGCAAGATTGTTTAAGCCAATAACGGACGTTTGGGATGAGCTTATAACTGAATGGCAGGGTAGATGGGCATCTTCTATTAAGGGCCGCCACCTGTATCAGTTCTTTCCATCCGTGCATGAGCGGCTGGAGAGGACATGGTTGGAGGTGGATCACTGTGTTGCCCAATTTCTTACTGGCCACGGCAACTTTAAAGGCAAATTGTTCTCATTTAAACTTATTGATTCACCATGGTGCCAATGTTCGACAGAGGAGTTGCGATACGAGCAGTCGGCCCATCACATACTCTGGGAGTGTGATCTCTGGCAATATGAACGTAACACTATGTTAAATAATTTAATTGTTTCGTCAGGTGTAGTTTATTATACGGACCTTGTGGAATCTAGAACGAATTTCCGTGCGTTTAGGCGTTTTTGCCATACCTATTATTGGAAGCAAGTATAACAGCTCACACATAGGACCCACTTAGTTTTTAGTCAAATTTCCGTGGTGCTTGGCGACTGGGCTTCACCCAGTTGTACAGTCTCTTCTTTGTGCCTTTAGGCTTAATTCATTCTGTCTCCTGCAGCAATTCACCGAGGGAAGTGAAAACCATAGATTTTCTTCTTCTCCTCTTATAATATCTTCTGATTCACTTCGTTGCGGGAACCAAGACAGTTAATCATGTCACTGAGACGCGCCAGACTTAAGTGTTACGGTGTTTTCATGGTTGTATCTACTGTAGATCCTGGCTTACAGGAGTTGCAGCGGTTTTGGGAGGTTGTGGCGGGCTTGTCCCATTAAAAAAAAGGGCACAGACCAAGAGTACGTGGAGAATTAATCTGTAACATTATAAAAAAACAGTACCCAGCTACGTACAGAGTACTGAGTAGAATCGAATGAATAGTATAAAAATCATAACGTCATCATAACATCACGCCTTTTATTTCCGAATGGGTAGGCAGAGGTGCACATTACGGCTCTTAATGCCACTGTACAATGACTGCCTCCACCCTCTGTCGGTGGCAGAAACTTAACTAGCCTGATACTATAACATATTATGTAATATATACAAATGATATAAATGCATAATTCAACATGGCCGCCTCCATACTATGAAACTAAGTACAGTCAATAACTCTTTATCTGGTGTGAACAGACAACCACAAACAAAATTATAATTAACATACATATATTTAAAACCCCAGAACGTCAATTAAAATGAGTATTTTAATTACCTTTTAACTAAATCGGGGTGCGCCAGAGACGGTTTATGATCTTTATATGTAAATTAGGTTCAGTATGTCTTTAGAAGGGAATTATAACTTAGATATATGCTTAAGAAGGGTCCAAGAGAACCTTAATTATTATATAATGATGCGATTATTTTGTATGTTTATTTGTGAGCTTAAGATATACTTGTTACGAATACATACGAAGATATTTCGGGTTAATCTAACTACATTAGCTACTGCCGCGCATTTCACCTACTGTTCAGTTCCTATTAATCGAAGCGTGATATTTTACTTCATAGCCTCCCAGCCAGCACAAATCTTTTGAGT